ACATTACCCATTGACTCTTATCTTAATTATTGTACAAGCCAAAAATATGCATCAGTCAGTTTTCCGGCGTAAAATAATATCAGGACAATGATTAGTATGTAAGGTCTGTATTGAAAAAATGCTTGTTAGTGAGACTATTTTATACCTAACATCCATGCATTTCAAAGTCATAGCATATATATATATATACCGAAATGTATTCGATTTAATTCAATAAAGCTTTTATTTCATTTATTATTTGTGCTGTAGTTTTACCCCCTCATAAAAAAATTCCTTTAGTTCTGATTATCATACTCTCCGATATAGCTAGTTGAGTCCGTCTTAAATACGTAATTTGAAGAAAATATGATAGATACGATATCACTTGAAAGGACAACACTAGACCTATACATTAATATTAATTAACATTTTAAAAATGTTGGCATAAATTATTTCTTTCCTGTGTAAATAAACGAAATGTTAGACATATTAGTACTGTTGAAAACACAAATATGAATGATAAGAAAATTTTCGAAAAATAGAATCATCACTAATAATGATATGAAATTAGTTTGTTTGCTTACATTTCTTCATAGTTTAAACCGAATACCATACAGAATTCCTTGAATGAGATTTTACCGTCTGAATTCATATCAATTAGTTTTAACCATTCCTATATGTGAAAATAACAAAGAAAATCAAATTTTATTTGAATCTGTACATGTCATGATAGATGTAAGTCAAATAAACATATCTAAATCTATTCGAAAGCCGCCGACTGAAACCGTATTGAAATTTACTTCTCAACTATGTATTTTAGTTAACTTTCCACTTTCTGATTATTGTAAACTAACTAATTATGCATTTTAACCATACATATCATGTAGTCATACGTTTCTATAAAAAGTTCAAAATAGATAGTAAAGTTGAACACTCTAAACTTCAAACAAAACTAGGATAATGATATGTAGATGTTCCTTCCAATGAAGAAACAAAATATGATTACATTAGATTTTATACAATAAATATATATTATGCTATAAAAAAGATTTCATCAGAACAGAGCATGTAGAAAACCTATGCAGACGAGTAGCGACCAATCGCAGTTAAGAAATTCCTCTCCGAATGTTTCCAAGTTAAATAAATATAAGATAGAAATTTCTTATAATATCGCATATTCTTCACTACGACAAAATTCGATGCAGAAAACCTCTGAAGTTACGAATGAAACGTAATTAGGTGAAGTAAATTCCTTTAGTCCGTGTTCAGTCAATTTATCCTTTCATGTCTTCGAATATATTCAGGTCTGGCAGAGGAAAGGTTAAATTAAAGAGGTAAACGGGGTCGATTTCATTATTATAGTCATTATTGATTTTCTGTATATTCAAACAGCTTACTTAGTACCCACGTTCATTTTATTGTCTTTAAATCGATCGGTCTTATAGGTTAAGCAATCTCCAACTAAACATTGGGTATGATTAGCAAGCACATGATAATTACTTAATTACTTACCATAGATAAGATAACAGGTTTACGAATTATTACCTCATATAAATGCTACATAAATAATGCTGTACTCACATTTAATCTAAGATTGACGAACAGTACGAGCCCTAATATTCAGTTGTCCAAAGTATCTTGTTTAATATATGTCTATATTCCAGAAGAAACTAGTTTAATATTAGATACGAAATTGTAATCTTTTGAATTATCTCCAACATTTAAGGTTGATATAAATAAATTAAGATCATTAATAGACTAATTATAACTATCCAATCTTTACATTCTAGTAAATCGGTTGCTTTGAAGGCGTAAACTAGGGAAGTTAGGTAGGCAGGCGTTCATCAATTTTTATATCTAAGTTTAGCACTTGTTAGCAGTGTGTACAGACCATCTTTCTAGAAATCTTACTTAAGGAATATACATTTAGTAGTTATCTCACTACCTTCAAAACACTAAGAAAACCCAGCAGCTTGAATTTCCAGTTTTATTCAATTCAGTATTCAGTGAAACTATCACTAGTGATATCAGCCTCATTTCCATTTTAAACCTTTATCAAAACCCCAGATTTCCCTCCAATAACTAATCACTAATTACTACATGATTATTAATAATAAGTAAATTGATAACTAGTTTTCACTTTGATTTGACCACTGATAAGATCACTGTTTGATGATAGGTTTAGCAGTTCAAGTTATTCATAATACACAATTAATAAAAGAAAAATTAACGATCAAATTATGTATACATTGATTTTATTTCCTAAGAAATCATACTTATTGTTTAAGTGTTAATTTGTTTAACATAATATACTTAAAAAGTGTCCAATGGTATTGAGAAGACTGAGGCAAATTTACACTCTTAGTCAATTAAAAACGATAACATTACATTGAACACTCCATTTGCACACCATCTTTGAGTCCTGACTTCCAACGCTCCAGCCTTCCTCCATTCCTGCTGTTGCTTCCTTTACTTCCTGTCGGTGCTCTATTTCTTTCTTGCTTTTGCTCTATTCGCTTTCCGTTTTCCTCTTCTGACCGTAAGACATCTTCTTTCACGTCCATTCTTATACTACTTATATCGTTCGTATAAGTAGCACACACCACACTCGTCCCCCCTTTAACAAGTCGCTCTCTCAGCCTTTCTGATCTCCGTACAGCCGTCTTCTTTATCAGTGTTTGTGGCTCGCCCTCTTGGCGCACTTGGAACCACCTTTGGAGTTCACTGGCATTCACGCGTTTCTGTTTGTTTCCTTTCTGGATTGTATACACTGCGCCGCGCCTCTCGGTTACTACGTACGGTCCCTCCCACTTCGGGATCAGCTTACCTGACCCTGGCCCTCTTCCTGTGGTACATTTCCGTTCTCTACACTTCACTTGGTCTCCCACTTCAAACGGTCTCCAGTTCTTTCTCTCCTGTTCTGACTTCTGCATCTCTGATGTTTGTTTCTCTCTCACATTCCTGATTGCTTCTCTCCGCTCTGTTCTCAATCTTGTTGTATTCCATCTCTGTTGTTGCGGCCAGGTTTTATCATGCGTTGGTAGTCTCGGCCGTCTGCCGTACATCAGCTGGAACGGTGACTTCCTGGTTGTTCCCTGTGCCGAGGCACGATGTGCCAGCAAGATTAATGGTAATTCTTTCTCCCAGTCACCCCCTTTAGATGCTAGCCATTCCTTTAGCGTTCGGTTATTCCTTTCCGTTAACCCATTCGTCTGTGGATGATACGGCGTTATTCGTACTCTCTTGATACCTAACTGCTTTAGACGGGACTTGAACTCATCACTCTCGAAACAGGGACCTTGATCGGTTAATATTATCTTTGGTATCCCATGGTCAGCCACAATGTGCCGCATTACCGCTTCCGTCACCGTCCTTGCACGTTGGTCCGCCATCGGCACAGCATTTACCCATCGTGTGGCATGCTCAGTCATCACCAGCAGGTACTGGTTACCACTTGTCGTCTGCGGGAACGGTCCCATAATATCTACTGACCACAAATCACCAACTGCTGTTACTGGAATTGACTGCAATGGCGGTCGTATGCATCGATCCCCTTTCATTAGTTGACATCGCTGGCACGCTAATACATATCGTGCAACATCGTCTCTCATACCTGGCCAGTACGCACTTTGTCGCAGCAAATCAGTTGTCCGTGCAATACCTGTGTGCGCTACCTGGTGACATTCACGAATCATGTCCTGGCGCAGATCTTTTGGGATTATTGCTACCCAATTCTCGTCATCATCCCGCCAGGTCAAGGCTCCGTATCCGTTCACTCTCAGTCTCTCCTTCTGCCTCAGCAACACTGTTAATTCTTTATCTGTTCCACTCTTGTCAACATCTTCTCCCTCTTTTATCACTCTGATTACCTCCCGAAGGTTAGGGTCGGCTTTCTGATGCCGGACGAGTTCTAGGGGATCTCCCTCTAGGCCGTTAACTGCACACGCTATCTCTGGAAGTTCGGCTTCGGTGTCCGGTCTTGACAAATAATCTGCCATTACATTTTCCTCCCCTGGCACATGCCCGATACTAAAATCATACTCCTGCAGACGTAGCATCCATCGAGCCAACTTCCCCCGAGGGTCTTTTGCTGTTTTTAACCATTGTAGGGGCTTATGATCCGTCTCGATGTGAAATCGCCGACCCAGTAGATACGGTCTCCATTTGTCTACCGCCCATACAATCGCTAAACACTCTTTTTCTACTGTGGAATACTTCTGTTCTGTCGGCGTAAGGACACGGCTGGCATACTCCACCACTCTGTCAGACTGCCTCAAGACCGCACCTATACCGTGATCGCTCGCATCAGTGGTCACTGTAAATGGCTTCTCGGGTTCCGGCAGTCTCAGCGTCATTTGGCGGTCATCTAACAGATCTTTGATTCGGTCGAAAGTTTGTTGAGCGGTCTCTGTCCACGTAAACTTCGCATTGCTTAGCACTTTATATAGAGGTGCTGCTATATCGTTGAAGTTCTTCACGAATCTGCTGTAGAACGCCGCTCTTCCCAGGAACTGTCTTAACTTCCTTTTTGAGTTGGGAACTGCAATATTCTTTATCGTTAGAATCTTCTCCGGCAGTGGTTTTATTTCTCCATTGCCTACTTTATGCCCCAGCAACGTGACGCTTCTTTTCGCTATCTGAGACTTGTCTTTGTTAATTCGTAAACCAAACTCATCAATTCGCCTTAGGACCGCCTCCACGTGCCTCACATGTTCTGCCTCTGTACGACTATATACGACCAAATCATCGCCATAAACCTCGACATTCTCCAGGTTTCTGAGCAGCAATGTCATTAGTCTTCGAAACGTAAAGGGTGCGCCCGCCAATCCAAAGGGCATTCGTTTAAATTGATACTGCTTCTCCCGTACGATAAATGCCGTTTTGCTGCGATCACTGTCTTTTATTGGTAGCTGCCAATAGCCCGACCGTAAATCTAACACTGTGAACACCGTAGCACTCTGTAGACGATCTAATGTCTCCGCTATTGTTGGCATTGCACATGGTTTTATTTCTGTCACGTTATTCAGTTCTCTAAAGTCAACACAGAATCTATACTTTCCATTTGGCTTCTTTACCAAAAGTACCGGTGAGCTGTACGGGCTATCTGCTTCTTCAATTATACCTGCTTTTAACATCTCCTGTACCTGCTGGTTTATCTCAGCTTCCAAATGTACGGGGACCCGTCGTGTTGTGAAGATGGTTACTTCTTCGTTCTTTATCGGAATTTCATGTTTGACTTTATTACAAAACCCGTACGGTTCTCCGTCTCCCGTGAACAACTTCTTATATTTTGTGAGCACCTCGTTAATGTTCTGTTTCTTTCCAATGTCCTCTTTTGCTACTCTAACCTCAGCCACCTCGCTGTTTTCATGTATTGTCAGTGTGCCGTACTTTGTAATCACCTTCTTACTTCTTGTATCAATAATTGCTCCTACTTCTCTCAAGAAATCTGCTCCTAGTATTGGTCTCGACAAGTTCGTAGTCACTACAAAGGGAAACTGTATTTTCGAACTGCCGATTTTCACGATATCGTTTGAGACTCCGAGGATTTTTAACACGTGGCCGCCGATGGTGTTAACAACTAATGCACTCGGCCTGATACCTCTACACCGCTCTTTGTCTATTAACGAAACTGCCGCCCCTGTATCAATCAGGCAAACTACCTCTCGCTCGTTTATCCCTACTCTCGCATAGACCGCCCCCTTATCTACTAATGCCGAAACCCCCAGTTTCGAAAGACATAAGGAACAACTTGTGTATGGTCTAAAATATTTACGTCTTCGTCTTGTTGGGCAATTCCTCTTCCAATGTCCGGTTCCTCCGCAAATGTAGCATTTATTATTTCTTTCACCCTTTATTCGTAACGCTGCCACCTCTCGTTGTAATTCTTCTATCTTCTTCACGACATCATCAGCCTGTCTCTCACACGCCACCGAGGCGACTGTTGAGTTCATCAGTTGTCTTGTTACTTTCGCCAGCTCGGTGACGTCCATTGGTTGTGCCGCGTTCACCAGTCTCAACTGTTGGCCAATCTCTGCAGGCACACTTTCAATGAATTGCGAGGCTAGCAGCTGTGCCTGCGACTCCTCATCCAAATTCGGCAGACCCCGGCGCAGCAATCTTGTCAACTCCACGGCCAGCACGAGTGGGTCGCCGTCCACCGACAGCCGCGCCTCTCGGAACTTCTGCAGCGCGTCCTGCCTATCCGCCGGGCTGTCGAACTCCAACAGCAGCCTTTCCGTCACCGCCTTCCAGTCAGCGTCCTCCACACTATCGTACACCGCTCTCGCCCTGCCTCTTAGTAGAGTCCCCAGCACCACAGCCTTCGCATGCCGTTCCTTGACTCCGACCAGCTCCGCCACAGCCTCGAACTCCTTCAAGAAGCTCCTTACATCTCCGTCTTCAAACTCCCGAGGCCATGGTATCTTCATCCTGTGTGGAGGCAGCGACACCAATTGAGAAGACTGAGGCAGGCTCGATAGATTGTATTTGGCAAATTTACACTCTTAGTCAATTAAAAACGATAACATTACATTGAACACTCCATTTGCACACCATCTTTGAGTCCTGACTTCCAACGCTCCAGCCTTCCTCCATTCCTGCTGTTGCTTCCTTTACTTCCTGTCGGTGCTCTATTTCTTTCTTGCTTTTGCTCTATTTGCTTTCCGTTTTCCTCTTCTGACCGTAAGACATCTTCTTTCACGTCCATTCTTATACTACTTATATCGTTCGTATAAGTAGCACACACCACAGTATGATTTCCATGCATTAAAATTAAATTCCTAATCTGACTGATATGACAATTTCAAAGGATACTTTTAGAATTTATTCTTAAGAACATAGTAACCTCACTCATATCATCATTGTCTCAATAATTATTATCATTACTATTATGTTACAGATATTTGATTAAATGTTAATCAAAAAGAATATAAAAGAATCTTCATCCCATAATCTGTAACTACTATAAATTAATCAAAATATAATTAACCTATAGTATCAGATAATGTCTAGATATCCGTTCAAGAATTCTATTTGTCAGAAACAAAAGCTTATCATATAAAATAATGAATGTTAATCATTGAAAAATACAAACTCTTATAAATAATGGTAATGGATTAGTTATTATTTGACTCATTCACTGAACAGTCTGTGTTGTTTAAATCTTTGAAATAATAAACAGAGAATTTATATTTTCCTTCAAGAATGAGAAGTGTAAAACCATTTCATTATTATCTAAAATATATATTAAGAAAACATTTAAACTAACAGATTTGTATTTATTTAATGATTTGTATAAAACTGTTGCCTTACATAGACCATACTCATATCCAAATTCTCTTTTTTACAATATTGAATAAGCTCATTTTTCTCAATTACACCATCATTGTTATTGTCAAGTTTCATGAATATTTCAATAAATTTCTCCATAGCTAAAATCTTTCCACTGTTTTGTCTTATGCGGAAAAACGTTTATTAGTTATTATTGTTCTGTTTCTTTGTGTTTTTTTAAAATCCACTGACAAGTTTTATTCTATTGATATTATGATTCAATGCGCATCATATTAAATTCAAATTTTTAAATATTATTTGAATTTATTGTGTAGATAATTATTCTTTTTATATTATACATATGTGTAAATATGTCAGCGTGATATGAATACACATTTTGTCACTAAACGTTACTTTTATCATTCGTTGGTATTTTTAAAAATATCTGCAAAACTAACAAATTGATTTAGATGTGTTTCTGTTAGAATATTGGTGATCAAAACGATACATATTTCTTCTATGTAGTGTGCGTACATATGTGATTGGTATATCACGTATGTTCACTGACTGAAAACAGTGGAATGTGTGGTTTTGAAAAATAATTTGACGGAAATAAAACAAAGCTGTGATTTTGAAGTTTATTCACCTATTTAATAGTAATTTTCGTCAAGAATCATATTCAGGTAAATAACCAACTCTAGTTATTTAGCAATGGAACATCGCTTCAAACTGTGTTAAATATTTTCAAGTTTTGTATCAAAACATTGCTCGGGGTTATAAAAACGTTTCTTAACACTATTTTCAATGTTTACCATAAAGTTATTATATGAATTTCTTAAAACTAATCAGTTCTACAAAATTAGCCTGTATAAGTTATTACTTCGTCGTTTATTCAGTACAACTCTTAGTTACATTGACGCCCAATAAACCTAGACTAATTGTATTTTTGTTTTTTTTTTATTAATCTGAGAGTGATTTCAGCTGGTTGACCATTAAAAACCAGAGAGCACTGGACAGCGGTTTCGCCTGTGTTCGGGACTATTTGACAGAGTTCACCCACAACTTCGTCAGAGGTTCAGCCAAAATCTTCCATTAGCATGACAAGTGCGTTGTTTTCTAAAAGTCGGCTAAATATTCTTCTGTCCAGGTTTTCAACTCATTTGATTTGTGATGTATTTTGACCATTATCCGATATCAGTAGTAATGTCTAGTACTACGAATATGATATTTTAGTTTAATTCTTTTAATATGAAGTGAAATAAAGAATGTTCAATGATCAAACAATGCACTTCAAGAAATTCAACCTAGGTTGAGTCACAATGTCAGCATGAACTCTGGGATGCAAGTAAATCCAGCTGACGATCCCTAGATCAAACGTCCTAGATTCCACTGCTAACCATAAACCTTCCGTTCTATATAGTCTAACTGTAATGTTTGGAAGATACTAAACGCAGCTCTTCCAATACTCATTAACCAGCTTTCTTTGTTATCATACGAATCAGTATTTCAAAAGTCGTGTCACTTAACTGGAACTAATACTTTATCTCATTGTAATTACTGTGCAACATGTTTTCCAGTTATAATTAACATGAACAATAAATTACGAAATGGAGACAATTTTTTGAAATGAAAAACATACTGAATGAAGTATTCGCTAATAATAATTTCAAGTGTTGTTGAATGAAAGACTAAAATGTTTTGTCTTGAAAATGAGTAAACTTGATTCATGTGCATATTTCTTCGTATTGTATTTCAAAAGCTAAAAAACTTGATCTTCTTACTGTCTTCTTCCGTACTTCTAAGTTGAATTACAACTAGTAATTTGGAAATTAAAGTTCATTCTATGATCTGCTGTAGCTATTTAACAGTTAAAAGCTATCGAAACATTATTATGGATAAAAAGAAAGAGAAATTAACTGCTACGTCATTTACTTATTTCAGTTAATAATTTGTTCAATGAGGAATACATTTAAAGTAGTGAATAGGGTTTCTTGTTGGAGTTCAAACATCAGCGATAGAATTTAAGCATATCCAACTGATTAGCTTCAAGTAATACGAAAGGTGCACCTTGTCTATACTTCAATACTTACTAATATCCGGAATGAAAACAGCCAATTGCGTTAGGCAGTATCACAATATTCATTCAAGACGCTAGCAAATTATCAGATAGACAGCTTAATCGAACACAGCTCTTAATATCAATGATGATAAACACCAGACGTTTGCTAGTAATAATGATAATTATTAATATTACTACTTTCACTATATGTAAGCCTCAAACAATCCGAAAACGAAATTTCCATTTGCATACAAAATGCTTACTTTTTTACTAAAACTTCCTATCAAATTGATTTTCTACTGTTTCTTTCTTTTCCAACATCTTAAAAATGCCGACTATCGAGATTTAAAGCCTCTTATAAGCAGAAAAGATGGATTTTAACTAGAAGTAGAATCCACAATTGGCGGTTCGTCCCACAGAGAACTCGTCAGTTGATGTCAATATTTACATCGGGACCCTGACCTTATATCCTTCACTTCAAATTGTCAGCAAACAAAGGCACAATTACTGAAATCATTGAATAATCTTAAAAAATAATACACTTTTTCTAAAATGATAGTTTCTGTTTTCTGTTAGATATTTCTTTGTAAATCTAATCTACGGGAAAAGAACACAAACCAATTCAGTAAATTAGACAAAGTCAAGTAAATATGTTCATTTATTCAGTATCAATGACAAGTTCCAACTAAGCTACAAAGCTTAAAATCGCTTATTGTTAACACACTAACCCTGAAATTCAAGAATATTTGGTTTAGTTGCATCGATATAAATGCATTTCTTCCAAGAAACTAATAAGATAATAATCTGTTCATTTCTGTTGTTGTATTTTAGAGATTTTTTTATTGTAACATTTTTTCCGTGCATCATACTAACATTATTTATTCATGTCAGTCAAGAACGTGTATTCCAAAGAATGAAATACAAAATTTTTTCTTAAAGCTGTGCAAACAGTCAACGCATTTTTTCGATTTCCACGTGTACCAAAATCACTTCTTTATAGACCAATAATTTTTCCACTCGTTAATTTTCTTGACGAACAAGCGTCTTTCAAAATGGAAGATTTTAGTAAAATTCGCTTTCATAGTGGTAAGGTCGTTATGTCGATTGGGAATGTGAACTGCTGAATGCAAATTTTCTAGCCTAAGCGTGATACATTTGTGATGGCTGGTGCCTCACTAATTTCGTTGAGGTCTGTATTCGATCTGTTCTTAGGCTTCGTATGCTGCTCGTTCGAACAACCGGCACTAAATAGCGCCTCATAGTTTATCAATCAGAAGACGAATACGAAGTGTTGAATACGTTTATTTGGCGCACCCCAATTAGACCACCAAACCACAGACACACCTAGATAAAATCAATAAGAGAGTGTCGAAGGGTAAGCAAGCGAGTGAGTGAGAGAATGAATTAATAAGATAAAAATGTACATATATATATACGTAGGAAAATGTATGAGTCGTCGAAATATTTAAGAGGTTAACATTAGAGCGAATAGGATTATTATGTGCGCACAATATCCCTTCTGATGAATACATGGGTACTGTCGTTCAGTTGCTTCGGGATATATACCCGATGTTTATTTTTCTTTGGAAGCGTAATTCTTAGATCATTCATGTGTTATTTTAGACGATGTACTTTAACTTTCTGGCATTTTATACATATCTGCGTCCAGCTACGAACATCCCGGTTCATACTTGGCCATACAAAACGCTCAATGATTAGATTGATTGCGGCTTTTATTCCAGGATGAGACACATCATACATAGCTTCGTAAACGTTTCGTCTTAGTTGCTTCCGTCGACCCGTACAAATATCGCACGTCATAATTACTTTTTCGAATCGAATTTCTTTGAGTACCGAAGAGGTCATGTTGGTAGACCTTAGTCTGCTTAACTCAATATCCATATTTTGCAATCCGGCTAGTTTGTGATAATCGATTCCAGATTGGATGAGAGCGTTTATCAGCGTGCGGGAAGTTGCATTTGCTTTTTCGCTTATATTGCCTTTTGATACCACTGAATTCATAGATAGGTATTTCGTGATTATTCCTTTTATCACCACTGAACTGTCTCCGTTCAAAAGCGGATTTCGTCGAGAGCCAATCAATAGGTCGAAAGTCTCAAAGAAATCAATGCCAATTATAGGTACGGATACATCTGCCATGACGAATTCCCAGCAAAATGAAGTGTATCGACTGAAATTAAAGGTTAATTTTCGCTTGCCATATGTTTTTCTGTCAGATTTATTTGCTGCTTTTAGCGTTAGTGCCATATTAATATTCCGTTGTTCATCGCTGATTTCTGCTCCTGTGTCTATTAACAACTTAGCACCTGCTATTCTGTACTGAGCGTAAAATAAACAACCGTTTTTAGGAGCCACACCAGCTGTCGAAGCCGCTACTGACAACCGGCGGGATCGTTTCCCTATTGTATTAATCTTAAATGTGCATGACGGTCTTCATTTCCGACCTTTGTTGCCATCCGTCTAGTGATACCAGCATATCATAGGAGCTGGGCGTCTCCTAGAGCATGAGTGGTTTCTGTCACTCTATCTATTTAGTGAGAAAGCACCTCATTCCACAACTCGGATGACGATCTGCTGATGAACGATTGTAAAATAGCTTTAATGGTTCTATTTGTCCTCTCAGCTAGACCGTTACCTTCTGGGTGATATGCGGTAGTATCCGTCTTCCTTATTCCTAATAACTTGCATATATCGGCAATCAGATGACTTTCAAAGGCCGGACCTTGGTCGGAGTGGAGTGAGAGTGGGCACCATAACGGGAAACCCAATGATCAATGAGAGCCCGTGCGACAGTTAGGGCGTCTTGTTGCGGGATGGGTACTGATTCGCACCATTTAGTGAAATAATCTACCATAACTAATTTGTAGCGATTTCCTTTTTTGGTCGTCGTCAATGGTCCCATAATATCGATACCAACTAGCTGGTGCGGTCCAGTCGTTCCCATCGGCACTAACGGTGCACGTGGTGTTTGCTTGGGCGATTTTATGCGGCAACACGTGTTACGGGTTTTGCGGAATTCATTTACATCTTCATGGATAGACAGCCACCAAAAACGCTGGCGAACAGCATACTCAGTTCT